ACACAAAAGAGAAGTAATAATTTATAAAGATACTATAATTAACCACTGAAAAAATGGTGGAAAAAAGCACTTCTGCTAATAGTGCTCTGAAAACAGTGTATGTAGTAACATCAACATGACAACTTGTAATGACCTATTCGCTGCTCAGGTACCATATATCTAAATTTTAAAACACAAACTAGGCCTGAACAACATTTCAGCATTTCCATCAAGTACAGACAGCAAAAGGCATGCCTAATTCACGCGACCTCGCACTTACATACGCTAAACTACCAACGGTTCGTGCACTTGCGAGTATCACAAGTTGAGGATGCAACTGAATCCATTTTGGTGCAACTGTATCTACGCAACATAACCACGAATACACATCAAGATAAATTAGAAGAACATACTTGTCCATGATGCTGAGAAGCTGTTTTCTGACATCCTGTGCCCTCCTCAAGGATCGAGATTGAACTAAGTTCTCAAAACACCATGGCCCTGAAAAATTCTTTGCTTTCCATGCCTCATAGACTGCAAGTAAAGTCAGATGATCTCCCTCTGGCTGGAAAAACTTGGCTCTCTTCTGATCTGCCTGGGCTTGTTTTTCCCTAGGTCTGTAAAAAATATTACCAGTCTGAATCATTGCAATGATGGTCATGATCTCATCACTGCATCCAAGGTCCACACTGGCCAATAGCATCTTAGACAAGGGTGGATCCAGAGGAAACTCAGCCATTTTCCTACCCAATTTGGTGGGCAGCCCCTCCTCATCCAGTGCTCCTAAACTGTACAATTGTTCCATGGCAGAAATGAGTGCTTGGGGTGAAGGAGGATCCATAAAATCAAAAGACGAGATCATTTATCCCCATAACTTTCATCGTAAGAGCATCCACAATGGGAGGGTGTATATGGGGGTGTATGTTAAATATACACCCCTTGTCACCGGAATTGTCTCCAATGAGGAGATGTAAAGGGTTGTAAATATACATCACCACCATGAAGATGTAAAATAAAATGTACATTTAAATTTATTTTCACATCTTTTGCAAGTGGGACCCACCCGAGAAAAAAGAAGAAAAATGAAGAAAAAGTGGCTTTACATCCATTTTTACATCTTTTACATCTTTTCCCATTGGAGCAAAAAACGTATTTACACCCCCGGAGGTGTAAAAGGGATGTAAAAGTGGCTTTACACCCCCGAATTTACACCCCCCCCACTGTGGATGATCTAAGTGTAGTAGTCCCAAGATTTATCCTCTGGATTTCTGGAATTGAAGTAGGGGACATCTCATTGCGGTATGCACTCTCGGTGTAGAGGCGGTAACATTTCCCAGGGCCTGTACGCCCAGCACGCCCAGCTAGCTGCTTGGCTGATGCTTGGGAAATTGGAGTTATGACCAGTGAATCTAGCCCCTGCTTTGGGTTATAAACATTTTGCTTTGCAAAACCAGGATCAATGACATAAAATATCCCATCAATGGTCAGTGATGCCTCAGCAATATTAGTAGCCACAACTACTTTCCTCTTACCTGGTGGGGCAGGATCAAATATCCTTGACTGCATTTCACTAGGAAGGGCACTATACACTGGTAGGATAATCAACTCAGGGACATTTTTACCAAGACCTTTCATCCTCTCATAAAGAGACTGGCATGCAAAATCAATCTCTTCTTGTCCAGTCAA